CGTAGAAGTAGTAGTAGTAACAGTAGTAGTAGTAGTAGTAGTAATAGTAGTAGTAGAAGTAGTAGTAGTAGTAGTAGTAGTAGTAGTAGTAGTAGTAGTAGTTAGTGGTAGTAGTAGTAGTAGTAGTAGTAGTAGTAGTAGTAGTAGTAGTAGTAGTAGTAGTAGTAGTAGTAGTAGTAGTAGTAGTAGTAGTAGTCGTAGTGAGTAGTAGTAGTAGTAGAGTAGTAGTAGTAGAAGTCAAGCTAGCCAGCTCGAGCGAGTCAAGCATGGCATGCCCAGTCCCACCCGCCCTCCCACAACATAAGAAGCAAAGCTGGCACAACTGGGGGCCGAAGTCACACCGGCCAGCCGGTTTGGTACAGCTGATGCGGCCGCGATGGCGGTTGCCGACGGGAACTGGCGAGCGCGTGTGAATGCCGCGCACGCATTGCCAGACGAGTCGAGAATGGCCCGGTACACCGCAGGAAGCCAGAGGTGGCCGGAGGAAGCCCGACGGTCTGACAGGACACCCCACAGCATTTTTGTGAAAAAACATTGGGTTTTTGATGTTTTTATGTTGAAATGCTTGCAAACACACGGTGTTCGGTAGGATTCTGACATGAACGCGCGAGTGTGCTCTTTGTGGTATTTGTTGCACAGGATTCGCGGCCTGGGTGCATGACAGAGCATCGCGAGTGCACCGCGCGATGACGTGAAATCGCTGGATTTGACAGAACTCTTCAGATTCCTATGGTTCTCCTATGATTTCAGCAAGAGAGCCCGGGCGGGAAATTTGTACAATTTTTGTGAAAAGCATTTGGTTTTTGATGTTTTTATGTTGAAATGCTTGCAAACACACTGTGTTCGGTAGGATTATGACATGAACGCGCGCGTGTGCTCTTTGTGGTATTTTTTGCAATGGATTATCGCCGTGGACGACAGGACGTCCATGTCGAGAGGAAACAATAAGGAAAATGTTGATTTTATATTGTTTTTTACAGGTTGGGATGGGACCCCCCGGATGCGGCCCCTAATGGCCGGCCTGAGGGGGGAGTAGGAGTATATTCTAATAAGGAATAAGGATAGGAGTAGAAGTAGGAGTAGTCGTAGTAGTAGTACTATTCATAGCAGTTCTAAAGAATCCTGAGGAGTTCCGAAAATTTCGAAGGGATCCGGAGGAATCTGGAAGATCCCATCCGTGGTTGGAATTGGTCTCATTTTTGGTTGGGTTGGAATTGGTCTCATTTGTGGTTGGAATTGGTCTTTTTTCTGGTTGCAATTCGCTCCGAACGGTTGGAATTGGGCCTGGTCGGTTGTAATTCGTTCCATTTCGGGTCGCCCCCCCCCCCCTCCGAAAATCCCCCCCCCCCTGCTGGAACCCCTCCCCCCCCCCCCCCCCGGCAAACCCCCCCCCTCCCCTAACCCCTCACCCCCCCCCCCTCCCCCTCGAAAACCGGGGGGGGTCACTACCGGTTCGAACCCCTCCCCCCCCCCCCCCTCCGGATCCGGAAAACCGGGGGGGTCACTACCGGTTCGAACCCCCCCCCGAAAACCGGAGGGGGATCACTACCGGTTCGAACCCCTCCCCACCCCCCCACTCACCGCCAGCAAACGACTCCCGGTCCCTACCACCGTCCGCATCACATCCTCCACTGTTGTTCCCAGCGCCACTGTCCTCACCACCACTGCCCCCGCTGTGTCCCCACCAGTGCCCCCACCACTGTCGCACTGTCCCCACTGTCCCCACCACTGTTCCCACCACGGTTCCACTCTCCCCACTGTCTCCACGGCCCCAACCACTGCCCGACTATCCCCACTGTCCCAACTGTCCCACTGACTCCGCCGCCGTCCCACTGAGCTGTCCCACTGTTCCCACCACTGTCCCACCACTGTCCCCACTGCCCCCACCACTGTCCCCACTGTACCTCTGTCCCATCTCTGTCCCATTGTCCCACCGCCGTCCTCGCCACCGCCTTCACCACTGTCCCCACCACCATTGTACCCTCCACTGTCCCACTGTTTCCACCTCATTCCCACTGTGCCCACTGTCCCCACCACCACCGTCCCCACCACTGTCCACTGTCCCCCCTGTTCCCACCATTGTCCCCACCACTGTCCCCACCACTACCGGCCCTCTACTGTCCCACTGTCCCACTGTCCCCACCACTGTCCCGCTGTCCCCTCACCACTGTCCCACCAACACCGCCCCCACCTCTATCCGCACCCCCACTCGGTTTTCGAGGGGGGGGGGGGGGTTCGAACCGGTAGTGACCCCCCCCCCTTTTCATGATGAGCTTGGGGGGGGGAGGGGTTCGAACCGGTAGTGACCCCCCCCCGGTTTTCCGGAGGGGGGGGGGGAAGGGTTCGAACCGGTAGTGACCCCCCCCGGTTTTCCGCCAGCAGCGGTAGAACACGCTCTTTCGAATGTATCGATCTTGATGTACCGTGCCAAAGGCTGTGCTGCGCTGCGCCGTGCTGAATTGCGATGTGCCATGTCGCGATTGTGCTCTATAGCGTTGTGGATCGAATCCTCCTTTGCATCCGAGTCCTGACCGAACTGATATATTCTTAAGCTCGAGCTGCCTGAGCACAGAGTAGCTGCCCCAGAGCTAATGGACAGGGGGCATGCCAGGGGGACGCGCCGCGGAACGTCCCAAGGGACACGCCAGGCGACGTATCAAGGAGCGTGCCAAGGGGACGCGCTACGGAACGTGCCAATGGACGTGCCACGGGACGTGCCAAGGGACGCGCCGCGCGACGTGCAAAGGGGATTCGCCACGGGACGCGCCACGGAACGTGCCAGGGAACGTGCTATGCGACGCACCAGGGAACGTGCCAAGGAAAGCGTCAGGGCACGTGCCACGGGACGTCCCTGACCCAGGGCCAACCCATAGTGTAAATTACACTGCGTCCGCGCTCCAAGGGCCACGATTCATTGTAAATTACACTGCGTCCACGCTCCCAGGGCCAGGATCCCTCGTAAATTACACTGCGTCCGCTCTCCCTGGGCCACGATCCCTCGTACATTGTGCTGCGTCCGTGCTCCCAGGGCCACGATCTATTGCAAATGACGCTGCGTCCACGCCACCAGAGTCACGATCCCTCGTCAATTCCACTGCGTCCGCGCTCCCAGGGCCACGATCCCCGCTAAATTACGCTGCCTCCGCTCTCCCTGGGCCATGATCCCTCAGAATTTATACTGCGTCCGCGCTCCCAGGGCCGCGCTCACTCGTAAATTACACTGCGTCCGCGCTCCCACGGCCACGATCCCTGGTAAATTACGCTGCGTCCGCGCTCCCAAGGCCACGATCCCTCGTAAATTACGCTGCGTCCGCGCTCCCAAGGCCACGATCCCTGGTAAACTAAGCTGCGCCCACGCTCCCAGGGCCACGATCCCTGGTAAATTACGCCGCGTCCGCTCTCCCAGGGCCCCCTGGGGCATCCTTGGGCGTGCAGGTTCCTGGAAGCCTCCAAAGCAAGCGTTTCGCTCGAGACATCCGTCCGCCCTTCCCGACCTCCATTTTCATCAAAGAATACTTCCGCCGGCCCTTCCCAAACATGGCACCGGGGACAAGTCTACCGATTAAAAGGAGACCCTGGACCCGAGCCCTTCCCGGGAATATAGAAAAGGAATGTTATACATACATGTGTATGTATGTATATATATATATATATATGCGTATCGGCACATGTATGTATATATATGTATATAGAGATGTGGCATCTTAGAATATAGATACGCACAGTGCTACCAAATAAATGTATAGAGATATACACGTGGACATCGATATATATATACATATATACATATATATACATATATATACATATATATATATATATGATCCAGGGCTTGGGCCCCCCCCCAATGCTGATGGCATTGCCCCCCCCCCCCCGCGCGATGGTCCCCCACGCCCCCCCCTGTGGGCGTGGCGTGGTGCTGCGCTGCGGTGCCCCCCTCCCCCCCTGTGGATGTGGTATGGTGATGTGGTGGTTCAAAGGTGGGCGTGGCGTGGTGCTGCGCTGCGGTGCCCCCCCCCTGTGGATGTGGTGTGGTGCTGTGGTGGTTCAGAGGTCGTCGTCGTCGTGGTCGTCGTCGTCCTCGTCGTCCTCGTCGTCCTCGTCGTCGTCGTCGTCGTCGTCGTCGTCGTCGTCGTCGTCGTCATCGTCGTCGTCGCCGTCGTCATCGTCGTCATCGTCGTCGTCGCCGCCGCCGCCGGCGTCGTCGTCGCCGCCGCAGCCGTCGTCGTCGTCGTGGTCGTCATCGTCGTCGTCGTCGTCGCCGTCGTCGTAGTCGTCGCCGTCGTCGTCGTCGCCGTCGTCGTTGTCGTCGTCTCTGGGACCATACCATCTGGGGGGGGGGGGCCCGAAGAATCCTGGGACCATACCATCTGGGGGGGGGGGCCGTGGGCCCGGAGCCCGGGATCATATATATATATATATATATATATATATATGTATGTATGTATGTGTGTGTGCGTACGTGCATCCGCGATCGAAATCGGAGCGCAGCATGTCTTACCTCCCGCATGCGATGTCGGATTAGCATCAGCATTCGTCGTTTATTATGATGTCAGCGTTGACGCTTGTGTTCGCAATTGGAGAACAGCACCCACGATGTCGTCGCGTCAATCTTCTGGCTGACTGTAGCGAAGGAGAGAGGAACCCAGAGGAGGGTCTAGGGGCCCAAAAGTTTTTGGCGGCGCAGGGAGAGACTTGGCGATGGCCGAATGGGTGATGCACCTTTTCAGTAGTGTAGCCTGCCCCCCCGAGGCCCCCCGTAGCTCGCCGCCCTGGCCCCTCCCTGAATGTCAAATGCCAGGCAAACCATACGTTCACTTGATGCCGCAGAACACGACAGGAGCACACCAGGCAGACAACGACGCTGAGCTACGACTAGAGAACATCAGAAAGCGACCAGGCGATAACTCTTCCTTGATACGATGACTCCTCCATCGTTGGGCACACTGACAGTCTGGGGGCCGTGCGCTGCGAGATCCGCCGCCGCGCCGGCTCCCGGCCTTGGCCTCCTTCTTCTCTAGCTCGATGAGCTTGTGGTACTCCTTCGGAGTTCGCTGCGCTTGGAGGACGTCGATCGACATCAACACACTCCGAAGCAGCTAGTTGAGAAGGAGACGGGGGAATTAGGGGGGATGGAGGACATGCTAGGTGCGTCCGCTTCACATCTGACAGATTTCACTCCCATCAATGTCTTCCCATGACACTCACTATTTCTCTGTAATTAGATATATATATATATATATATATATATATATATATATATCCGCAGACGGGTGATATAGTATATAGTAGACCTGGAACCCCCAAAAAACACCATCAAGGGAGGCTGCGTACACTGTTGGAGGATGTGGCGAATGGGCTGGATGATGAGCAGGAGGCAAAGAAGCAGGACGAGGAAGGAGAAGGAGAAGGACGATGAACAGCAGCAGGAGGAGCGGTCAAGCTGGCAGTGTCCGCAGACGTGACGGATGAGATTCTGCCGTGCCCATATTTTTTCTCTGAGATTTCAGCGCGTCTCTGGCGGGCGCGACGGCCGCGTGATCGGGGGGCCCTGGCGCGGGGGCCGCGATGGCATGAATGCCTTGCCCTGCAAAGAAAAATGACCGCAATGCGACCGCGGCCCGGATCTACGACGAACGCGCCCCCCGGAAACAGTCGAGCAGCTCGACGACACAACGACGTGAAAATGCAAGCCCGCATCACCAGAAGGAGCGATGAAAACCGAAATGAAACCCGCTTAAATTCCAACGAAAAATTGAATGGAAGTTCCGCGGACAAAAAATACTGTCTCGTTTCAAGACACTATTTCTCACCGAACTTCCATCCAATTTTTCACCGAAATTCCATCGGGTTTTCATCGGGCGACGAACTCGAACAAAGACGGAGGGCAGGCAAGGGAACGGCGGCGATGCCCAACGTGATCCGCTGCGAACCGCGCCCAACACCACCCCCGCCCAACACCGTCTCTGGAACCTCTGATCAGCAGGAGTGGGAGGAGCGGGAGGACGGGGAGGACGAGGAGGAGGACCAGGGAAGGCGGAGGAGGCAGGAAGGAGCGGGGGGACAACGGTGAAGAAGGACTCGGAGTCCCACAAAGGTAGCCCGCGCTGAGGCGCAAACGATCGGAGCAAAGCGCCGATCCAAAAATGAGGCCCACGCGGGAGCGCCATTCGGGAAGGACCGGTAACGCTCGGACTTAACAAGACACCCAATAACAACCAACTGGACAGATCCTGTGCAAAGAACAATTCGCGGAGAGGGGCGTGCCAATCTGTGGACGTCGGCGGAGGAGGAAGGAGAGTAGTTCTCATATCGCATACTTGCTGAGGGGGACCGAAAGGAGGGGAGAAGGATCGGAAGGACCAAGGCTCTGTGAGTGCTAAGCCAGAGGTCATCCGGGAAGCAGCCGTCGTGTCCCTCCTTCCCTCCTCGTCTCCCGTCCTCTGTATTCCCTCCTCCGTCCCCCTCTCCTCGTCGATTCTCCCTTTTTCCAAGTCTCCTCCTCCCCCCTCCTCCCTCCTTCCCGCCCCCTTCCCACCTCTCCGTCGCAGTCCCCCCCTCCCACCGTCCCCAGGGTGAACGCGTCCTGGACCCTGGGGCGCTCCCTGGGATCAGCTCTTCAAGCTGGGGTGGTTCCCGGCGGGCCCGTGGACTGGAAGGGGGCCGAGAGCGGTGCAACACTCGGGAGCCCTTTCCCTCAAAATTCCCGTGGCCCCTCCTCCTTTTCCTCCTCTTCCTCCTCCTCCTCCTCCTCCTCCTCCTCCTCCTCCTCCTCTCCTCCTCTTCCTCCTCCTAATTTTCTTAAGCAGGGACCGATCGTCCCGGCATTCCTATAGACCTACCACGACATGTTCTTAGAACCCAGAAATGTTCTAAGAACAAAAGCCAGGTTCTTAGAACATAAACCCGATGAGTTTAGACAAGACAGTCCCAGCCACAAATGTTCCAAGAGCATTTCGTGGAAACCACAAAACGAGTTCTTAGAACATTGTTTGGTAGGCCTATAGACACGCCAGGACGCTTCGCCACTGCTTGATTTTCCTCCTCCTCCTCCTCCTCCTCCTCCTCCTCCCCCTCCTCCTCCTCCTCCTCCTCCTCCTCCTCCTTGCGTCCTTGACCCTGGTGAGGACGCGGGGAACGTCGACGGCGGAAAATATGGACTCTCGCCTGCGTACCGCGCGGACCGCGGTCCGCATCGTGGCCCGTGTGCACGGGGCCACCTCCTGGCGCACGCCATGGTCCGAGATCTGCTGCTGCTTCCACGGGGGTCGCCAAAACCGCGCGGTGACAGACCGCGCGGGGACGTCGGACTCCCCCCCACGACTAGGGGAACGAAAAGTGTCATGAACATAAAAACTCGGAGGTCCGCGCGGATTTCTCGGATCGGCGCTGGGCCCCCCGGCGGCGCCTCCGGCGCCGCCCCTGGCGCGCGCCGATCCGAGAAATCCGCGCGGACCTCCGAGTTTTTATGTTCATGACACTTTTCGTTCCCCTAACCGACTACCTACCAGACCACCCCAACCCAACCCGAAGACCCGAATTGGACCCCAATTTCGGGTTGGGGGGGGTACGGGCTCCACCTGTTGTTTCAACGTTCCTCGACCCCCCCCCCTGGAAATGGAGGGCAAATTTGAAGGGAAACTGGGACACACAAATAAATACACACAAATAAAATGATTCCCCATATTTTCCCATATTTTCTGGGTTTTTGTCTTCCCCCCCACTTCCCATATTTTCCCATATTTTCTGGGAATCGCAGATTACTTGTGTCTGTGTGTTTTTTTCCCTCCTGAAAATTGAGGGCTTCGGGTTGGGTTGGGGTGGTTTGGTGGGTGGTGACTAACGACCTCGCCGCGCGGGCCCGTCCCCGCACGGCGCCCGGGCCCCCGAGGCCCGGGCTGCCGCTCGAGCACGGCCCGGCCCCCCCACACAAGCCGCGCGAGATGCCTTCGGGACGTCCCCCACCGGCTCACCACGCGGCGAGGTCGCCACCCCGCCTCGGGGGCCCACCGATCGGGTCGGGCGAAAGGGGGGGATAGCAAAGGGGGGGTTTGGAGAATCAGCTCGCGTAGCTGATTTTCCCGGCGCCTCTCGGCGCCGGAGGCGACTGTGTATCGAGGAATGGGCCCGGCGGCGGGGCCGAAACCAGCTGCATGCAGCAGATTTCGTACCCCCCCTTTCTCAATCCCCCCCCTTTCGCCCGTCCCGAACCGAGGTGCCACGGGGGCCCAAGCCTGGCACCCGCCCGAGTCCGAGAGATGTGCTGCTGCTCGCCTGGATGGTGGGCGGGCCCCCTGCCGTGGTGGACGACAAGGGGGGCGCGGCAGCGGCGGGGCTGCATGCGAGGCGGGGAGGCACCCAGAGATCCACCGCCCGGGAACCGATGCCCTGGTGCCCCAGCGGGCGGCGGACGTGGGTATGTGACTACCTACCAGACCACCCCAACCCAACCCGAAGACCCGAATTTCGGGTTGGGGGGGGGTATGGGCTCCATATATGTTTTTTTTTCGATGCTCCTGGACCCCCCCCCACTAGAAATCGAGGGTAAACCTGAGCCTTCGGGTTGGGTTGGGGTGGTTTGGGGGGTGGTGACGTATGGACATGGATATGTCTCGGCCTCCAGGGGGCCCGCAGCTGCCCACGTCCACCGCCTGCCGAGGCCCCCGAAAATGGATCCCCCAGGCGGCAGGCTCATGCCCGAACTCCCGCCTCGGGTTGTATGAAGGGGCCCCAGGACACACAAAGAAAGACACACAAATAAAAAGCTGTCCCCATATTTTCCCATAGTTTCTGGGTTTCTGTCTTCCCCCCCACTTGCCATATTTTCCCATATTTTCTGGGGAATCGACGATTAATTGTGTCTGTGTGTTTCTTTTCCTCCTGATTGTAGCGCATCCCCCGCGCCCCGCCCGCCTCGCGGGCGCCCAGAGGCGCACGCCGAGGAGCGCGGCCGGCCTCGGGGCCGAGGCCCGGCCGCACGCGGCAGCCGCTGTGACCCCCCCCCCCCCGCGGGCCCCCGTCGTCAGGAAGCCCCCAGGCGTGCCACGTTGGCGCTCTCGGCTAGAAATGTTCTCGGAACATTTCGCGCAGCTCACAAAGGGTTCTTAGAACATCCTTCGGTGAGCCTGTAGGAAAGCCAGGACGCCTCGCCAGTGCTCCAGGTCAAGACGGATCGGCCCTCGTCCCCAGTCGGGCGGCGCTCACAAATGGGTGGCACGAGGGGGGCGGCCTCCTCGAGTCGTGGTGTCGGTGCATCTGGGCGGACCGATCAGGTTGGAGTCGACGTCTTTACGTAACGGGCGAGCGTGCGTTTCGGCCCTACTTCTGCGGCTGCAGGAGCACGTGCGACAAGATGCGAAGCGCGTGGGACGAGCGCGGTTGATCTCCCCGGCACGCCTGCAGAGAACGACGACACGATGCTGATGAAGACCTCAGGACTGAATCAGGAACGATGCTTGAGCAAACAAGAACCCAAATAGAACCAACACAGATCTATGGAGAGGAAGATGAGTGACGGTGAGGAACGAGGATCGGCAGATGAGGTGGGAACGTAGCAATGGGGGGAGGAGAGGATGTGAGGACAGAGGGTCCTCCAAGATGTGACGGCGACGCCCTTCGATGAAACGCTCGTCAATGTGCGCCCACTCGCTGCCAGCGCGCCCGAACTCGTGAACAGTCGGGAACCTCGCCGCGGCACGAGACATGGGCAAAAAACTCAAGGAAGAAGGGCGATTGCCTGCCTCGTCCGATTCCTTCCGAGCTACGCCAAGAAACACTCAGTTGGGGCTGGGCAAGCGGATTGTTCGATCTCATGGCTACATGGGCACCGAAAAAATGAAAGAGCGCGAGCATGTTCACAAACTCCCACACGCGCATTCCAAATCCCGACCCGCAACAACCGTTATGGCCTCCAAGATACCACAAGATCGCCCAAAAAGTTAACAAGTTCTGACATATGGCCGCCGGCATGCGTCAAATAGGCCACAGGGTAGGCCCCGCAAGGGCTTGAGGAGGCCACAGGGCCCCCCAAGGATGCGATCGAGAGGCCAAGCCCCAATGAAACTGGATGACCGATTGATTTGGAAAGCCTCGCCTCTTCGCCTCCGATCGGCTTCCGAGGCTCCAGCACAGCCCGAGGCGGCCCTCCCCAGAGCGGAAGAGGAAGGTCCATCCCGATGCATACGGTTGCCCCCCTTTGGTGTGGGAAGGTACTGCTTCCTGGCCGAGCGCAGGATCAATTCGTGGCTGCCCACTTGGCACTCGAAAGGGCAAAGCGAAGCCCATCCCTTTCCCATGTCCGCAACTCGCTCCTCCGTCTTCCCTCCCCCCGTTGTGGGCTCATGGGGATCTCCTAGGGCCCACGGCAAGCTCGTGTCGTGACGTGCGCGTTGTTTTCTCACCGTGTGGATCGTTCAGCGCTGAAAGACTGCGGCTTTGCCAACGATAGCTCAGATCATTCGATGTCGGCCAGCTCCGGGTCACCTGTGGCGTTCGAGCTTGGGCGCCCGCGCTGGGGTCACCGCCGCGTCGACACGGCACGAACCTGCCCGACCGGACTGGTTCCCCCTCCTGCACTTCGACCAATTTGCCGCCGCCGCTGACGCGCAGGCTCTCTAGGGGTGGGCGGGGAGGGGGAGGGGGAGGACAGGGCAGAAGGATGGATAGGCAGGAGGAGGGAAGGTAGGGAGGCCGGGAGGGGGAGGGGGCGGGGCCGCCCTTCCCCCACAGGGGAGCCACAGGGACTCTCCCGTCGTCGACGGCTTCATGTCAACGTTGAAGGGTCCGAAGTTGCAGCCGGAGCAGATGATGCAGAAGTCGAAGCCGACCTCGTCCTCACGCAAGGCTTGGACCCTGGCCTACCTCGCGTTTACTCATCACCTCCCACTGCTTCCTCCTTCTTCCCTCCTCCCCGTTCCCTCCCTCACTCCCCCTCCTCCCAGACCCCTGCTCCCTCAATGATCCTCCATCCCTCCCTCCATCCCTCCCTCCCTCCTCCTCCCTCCCTCCCTCCCTCCCTCCCTCCACCCTCCCTCTCTTCTACGACCTCCACTTACGTCCCACATCTGTTTTTTTTTTCTCTCTCTCGCTCTCTCTCTCTCTCACTATCTCTCTTTCGCTCTCTCGCCCTCTCCCTCTCCCGCGCCCTCTCCCTCTCACTCTGTTGTTGCGTATACAGATGTCACCCATAAATATAAACATGTTTGTTGTGCGCTCCCGAAAGCTGCGCGAAACGTCGCAAGAATACAGTTGTCCATCCCACCGTCCAGCAGACTGCGTCATCGGCGGGCAACTGGGTTTCCCATCCGCTCGCAAACACACAACCTCCAGTTGCCAGTGTGTGTTCGAGTGGCCTCGTCGACGGGCTCCCTTTTTTGGAGCACCGTTGTCGACGGCGCCGAGCGCAGGAACCTCCTCGGCCGGCAGCTGCCTGTGCTGGCTGGGTGAGTGCAACGCTCCGTCCACCTCTCTGGAGGTCGGAAAGGGGTGTGGCATAAAGGGGTGTGGTGCCAATGCTGAATCTGGCAGTGTTGTCCATCGTGGATAGCATCTCCATTTCCACGATTGGCACCACACCCCTTTGTGCCACACCCCTGTGCCTCGCTCCAGAACCACCTGCGCCCTCGGGATGGTTTTCTCCGGCGGTGCTGGGGGAGCGGCTGGGGCGTGGAAAGCCACGCCGCCATCGTCGCAACGGAACGGGCGGGTCACAGTCGCTCCTTGCGAGCCTGCGCCCAGAGCGCAGCAAAGGGAGCCCGCGAAGAGCACAAGAGACACACGCTTCCATCGCAACGGGTCGGATACAAGAATTAACGAGGTCGCGTTTCGAGATCCGCGTCCAGATCTGGCAACGGACTGCAGCGGGTGACCAGACCCCGCATGCGCTTCATGTTCTCGAAATTTGTAATATAATGAGAAAGATAGAGATAGATAGAGAGCGAGAGAGAGAGAGAGACATATATAAGATATGTGTGAATATGTAGACAATGGTACTAAACATATGTATACGAATATTTCACTTGAACAAAAAGTCGAGCGGGCATCGCGAAGCCGCTGCCGGAGGAGAGCGAGCACGGAAAGGGGCCGCGCCCGCAACAGGCGCACAGAATGCGCGAGGCGTTCGCGCACGGGCACGCAATGCAACGACGGCGCCCGACAGCGGATGCGGAACCCCAAATGAGTCTCGCACGGAACGCCCGGGCGCATAGCATTGAGCAGCCAGCGCGCGCCACGCATGCACAGATCGTTCCATATTGACATGAACGGCTCGGGGTGCACCACTATGTGCAGATGGAACGACAGCCTGGGCAGAACTGACGGCTGCAACGTCCAGCTGCGGATGTCCAGCGACATCTGAAAAGAACCAAAGACTGCAACCGAGAGCGGGACACACGCGACCAGAGCTCGTCTCTGGCGACCAAGCGCCAGTGGGGTGATCGAGCCTGACAAGGAGATTTCGCCTCCGAGGTGCCTGCGTTCACTCACAGGGCGAAACGCATGGCAGTACCCACGGACTGAGACGACCAGAGGGACGGCTGGGCTTGGCCGGCGAGCGCGCAGGCGCGCCTCGGCGCCGCCTCCCCAGTACTTGATCGGAGCCTCCGTTTTCCCAGGGCCCCCATTTATGTGAAGAGTCCTGCCATGAGAAAAATTGCACCGTGCGCAAGGGAACATAAATTGCGTAACCGAACACTCGAATAGGTCTAACACAAAACGCTAGGCCTGCCTCGTGCACAAAAACCGCATCGAGGACACGATGACGCGCGTCGTCGCCGCCTGCTACGGGGGGCGCTGCCGCCCATGGAGGCAGGGCGTCACTGGCGAGCGAAAGCACGACTCCCGCCTCCACTAGCACATCGAAAATCATATGCAAAACGACGGTGAACACGGAGTTAAACAGGCAAACTCCGAATTTGCACCCTTGCCGCCCCCCCGCCCGAGTGGCCGCCGCCTTGCCCACATCGCCGCATACCATGATTGCGCGCGCGCGATTTTTTTCTCCGGCAAGAGCGCCACTTTACATTGCGCCCCCCCATTGCATCCATGCACAGCGAGAAACTTAACGACCCACTCCGCCCGATGCGGCTGGAGCCCAAACGAAACAAAATTAGTGCGAGGATCGTCGGCGCAGGCCAGCCAACCCATAGCGGTATCTCTGACGGCCCGGCCAAACGCCTTGACGAGGTCCACGCGCAAGACGTGTGTGAGGGGGAGGGGGACCGAAGGACCGAACCCACCCCCAAAGTGTCCGTAGGTAGACGTGATGAGGATGATGGTAGTTGTCCTCTTCACCCTCTGAGTACGAGTACCTGCATCCGAGCCGAAAGGGGCGATGGATATGAGCAAGATAGGAGGAAAGTAGGGGGATTCACACACACCCCCCGTCCCGATCCCGCCCGATGCCCACGCACAAAGGCGAAAGGCACCGAAGCGGGGATCGGGATAGGAGAGTGAATCTCTACTGAACTCCTGTCTGCAATCCACTGCTTCAGCCCAGGAAGGAAAGAAGGGACAGCCAAAACTCTGTCGTAAGGTTCGCACCCAACGGCGGCGCTAACCCGCAAACAAAGTTTTACAGCGCCTGCCGCCGAGATAGAACCCAGGACAGTGCTGTGGGCTGGAGAGAAGTGGAATGGAGAGACTGAGCTCTTATGACACCGACCCAAACGGTCGGTGCCCGAAGCAACACATGATATGAATGCAACGATGTGTGCAATGAGCCAGATCCAATCCAAAGCAAAACGCAAAACTTTGAGATATGAGGAGTAGAGTGCATGCGCAAGTTCCAAGAAAATCTTGTACGTCTTGCACCAGTAATGAAGAATCAAGTGTATTTATGCAATTATGCTTTTTCACATGTTTTTGCAATTGTGCATTTTCAACAGTACATGCTAGACAATCATCTTTGTGGCTCTTTAGGCCGTTTTGTCAAGACTGCAATCGATAATAAGGTTGTCACCTGCTCTACTATCGCGAAGCTAACGCCCCAGAGATAACGCACAAAACTTATGCCATCGCTCCAACCAAATTCTCGGCGTCGGCTGCAAGAAATGGTGAGTAGGCTGGTTGCGGTACCTTTTCATATACAGCTGGGCCTGTCCATGGTGACAAGTATGGTTTTGATATCGACCAAGATGTGAGAGGCACGTCAAAAGTCAGAAGAAATTTGGAAGCCATCAAAATTGTATGCAGATGTCATCGTCCATCATGATGTGGTGCTGGTATGCTCTGATGTCCATGAGGTACAATTGCCGAGCCTGCGTAATCAGCGGCGGCAGAACCAGCGGCACGCCATGGGGGCGCCATAGGAGGCGGAACCATGGCTCGAGGATGCGCCGGATGATGTACCGTAAGGGGAGTTGTGGTGTGTAGGGGGGGCAGGGTCGGCCTCCGGTCCCCCTTTCGACGTGCCCTTCGTTGCGCCGTACTCGCTGCGGCTGCCCGCTGCAATTTCGGCGTCCAGATGGGCAGCGCCCCTTATGACATCTGTTATGTAGTCAGACCACGCACGATCGGCGCTCGGGAGAGCGACGGCGTCTCTGGTCTCCGGACCGAGAGTGGGCGAATGGAAGCCGGGGCCAGGATCCAGCGATCGATCCGCGTCCGATCGGCGATCGGGGTCCCAATCGACCGGCTGATCGGGCTGGTCGGCGGTGGCTGAGCTCGCGGCTACCTGCTGTCGAGGGAGGACACAAAAACAACCTGAACGCGAGGGAGGCGTCTGCCTCTTCAGCACAGGGGGGTCTGAACTAAGAGCCGGGGTCTTGATTTTGACCGTCTGTCGAAAGAACAACGGCTTAGCCAGAGCCAGCGGGCTCCTGCTTCGGGATTTCTTCAGCCGAATCGGATCAGGAGAGTCCTGGGAGCGGGAAGATTTTCCGTGCCGGGTCGTTCCTGGAGAGTCCCGTGTTCCGCGCCGCGGGGGCAGGGGAGGTGGGTTTCTCTTCCTGTGTCCAGATCCTCTGGGCGCTCTGGTGTCCAGATGCTCTGATGGAGCAGCAGCCGGGCGTGTCCTTGAAGACGTAACAGAAGCATGCGGCTTTTGAGCCGGAGCTGAGTCATCTCCTTGCCGTGGCTGGTCCTTCGTGGCGCCGCAGCACGGACAGGGCGCGCTAGTCGGAGCCAACTCGACCGTGTCGATTTCGCAGGCGTCCGTCGGGACGAAGGTATCGTCGCAGGCATGTGATTGCCATGTGACGGTGCCACAGCAGAGCAATTTGACCTTGCGCCTCGAATGAGCCTCTGGGCGTCGACGACAGTGCCCCCCCGGATTCGGTGGAGGCGGAAACACTAACTCCATGTTATCGGCGTCAACGTGTGGTATGTAGTCGCGAACAGGGGCCCTCCGTGATGGTCCACCATCTGGTGGTGAGAGAACACACCCATCTTTTCTGCTCCAATGGATGGTCCAATCCTCATCCTCGACGAGACGACCCATGGAAATAACAGACGGACAACCTTTGAGAGCCAAAGAACCTGTGTGCAAGTTAATGGAAGGCACAGAAATATTGATGTGCTCATTAACAACTCGATCGCCGTTTGCTGTTTCCAATACGTATTCATGTCCACGACGAATACCACATGTTTCAGCTTGAGTCAAATCGTCCTTGTCCGTGATGTGGTGCGCAGAACCACTATCCAAGACCCAAGACCGTGCGAGAACCGCGGGGGACTTTGCTGCAGTTTCCTGCTGCATGGTCCCTGCTGCAGTTCCCTGCTGCACTAGCTGCTGCTGCAGCCCTGCTGCAATTCCCTGCTGCACTGCCCCGGCTGGGACAAGCGGCATGCAGGTGTCGAGGTCGTCGTCCAGGCGCTTGGTCAAACGGATGGCGTT